CTTTTACCTCTTCTAACAGCTAACCACCCCTCCTTGTTCTAGCTAACAATTCATCATATTAAATTTGCAAATAACCTGTATAGTTGTCTCTCCTGACTGAACTCAGACTACTCTCAAGGATATTTACTGTACAGCTTGTCTGTATGTTTGACAATGTTGGGGAAGGGAGGAAACAGGGAGATGTATTTTAAAAGATTGGCAGAATGTTGATAATCGTTGAAGCTGGATGATGGACTGAGAAAATTATACTGTCTCTTCATTTTGTTTATGTTTGTAATTTTTTGTAATAGTTTTTAAAAGTGGAGGGCGGGGAAGAAAGGCTTCATATAGGCCAAAGCATTTGGAGAGAGCCTGGTGGAATAGATTTTGACAGGCATAAATGGAGGCTGAGGTTCCAGGTGAGAAAAAGCACAGTGAAAATGGCAGAATTTGAGCAATATCAAGTAAGCTGGCTAAAGTAAAGGTGTATAATGCAAATGAATGTTTGCTGAGATTTTTTTTTCCTCCCCTTTAACCTTCATTTCAAGGTGTTAGTTCTTCATACTCAATTGCTTTTTTTCCCCCTACTCTCCTGTCCCTACCCCATACTTCTACTTACTATCCAAAGTCTAGCTCTTACCCATTCTTCCCCACCTCTTATTAATAATAAATTGATCCATTTCAGAGTCTTTTCATATATCTTAATTTTTTTAAACAGTGGGCATAATTATATCTGTCTTGGGACACATTTAGGCGAAAATATAGGTATGTTTGTGCTCATATAGCAGTATTTTTTACATGTAAAGCCATTAGCAGTGAAATGAGACAAGTTTTCCTAATCTCTAGTTAGTAGGGGATAAGAGAAAACATTAATTGATTTACTATTATTTAATAACTCGTGACTTTTTATAATCACAAAATACACCTATACACACAAGAATGAGTAGGTGTGTGTCAACACATTATCTCCGGGAAGGGGTTGGTAATATTCTTTGTTAAGCTGAGTAGTGAACTGACCAAATAATAAAATTAATACCCATTATTTTCTCCACCCACCAATACATTTAAAGCACCCTTAGGCTATTCTCCAGCGACAACTCTCTCTGTCCTTCCTTAGGAATGACAAAAATCATAAAATTTGACTTACGAAAAACATTTTTGTTTAATCCAAACTGAAAATATTATGAAGTATAAAAGCAGCTAGAAATTTAAGAACTCATAATACAGATAATATCAGAGAGAGCACATATATCCAAATAAAACATATATTATGATGATTCATAAAAAGCGCGTATGAATATGGACCTGTTGCACACATTAAAATATATAGACACCCCAGCTGAGCTCCTTTCTCTCCTAACCCCCATTATTGGTAGGGTCTGAACCTACCATTCTATTTCAAGCTTCAACAAGTGGCACATGCTCTTCCACCTATTTAGAGTGTGGCGGGACATAGGTATTCCAGAACAGTAGAGAGCAGAAGACAAATGTTGTTCGGTGTCACGCAGGCGATGACTATGCTTTCCTATGCCCTCCTGAGGATGCAGTGCTGCGGATGCTAAGTTTCATTCAAGATCTAGGACAATACATTGTTTGTAAACTTTGCACACCAAAACTGTCAATGTGAGTTCTTCCAGAATAAATCAGCAATGGTTAAGACAAGAATTGGGTTTCTTTCCTGCCTCGCACAGGATTCTTCCTGTGTAGTCAGTATCACAGACAGCAATGCACTCCATAGGGTACCCATGGGCAAAAGAAATGCCTCCACAAAGATATGCAGCAGCTGCTCCTGCTCTAGATGATGCAACGCACTCAGTAAGGTACCAGGGGCAAAAGAAATGCCTCCCCAAAGATATGCCGCAGCTGCTCCTGCTCTAGATGATGCAATGCACTCAATAAGGTACCAGGGGCAAAAGAACTGCCTCCACAAAGATATGCCGCAGCTGCTCCTGCTCTAGATGACGCCTTGCTTCCACTAAGTTCTGGCAGCCATGCAACAGAACTTTCTGCGATAATGAAAATGTTTGCTAGTCTATCACATGTGGCTATTGAGCACTTGAAATGTAGCCAGAGTGACTGAGAAACTGTATTTTTAAATTAATTTTTATTGACATAGAGTTGACATATGTTAGTTTCAGGTATACTACAAAGTGATTTGATATTTGCATACATTATGAAGTGATCATCATAATGAGTCTAGTAACCATCTGTCTCCACACAAAGGTATTACAATATTATTGACCATATTCCTAATGTTGTATATTACATCCCCATGGCTTATTTATTACATAACTGTAGGTCTGTACATCTTAATCCCTTACACCTATTTCATCCACTCCTCTATCCCTTCCCTTCTGGCAACCACCTGTTTGTTCTCTGTTATCTATAAGTCTGTTTTGTTTCATTTGTTTTGCTTTTTACATTCTATACATAATTGAGAGCATGTGGTATTTGTCTTTCTCTGACTTACTGCACTTAGCATAATACTCTCTAGATCTATCCATGTTGACAAAAATGGCAAGATTTTTTTTATGTCTGAGTAATATCCATATACCACATCTTCCTTACCCATTAGTCTATCAGTGGTATTTAGGTTGCTTTTATATGTTGGCTATTGTAAATAATGCTGCAATGAACACTGGAGGTGTTTTTGAATTGGTTTTTCTGTTTTCTTTGGGTTAATGCCCATAAGTGAAATTGCTAGATCATATGGCAGTTCTATTTTTAATTTTTTAAAGAAACTCCATACTGTTTTCCATAGTGGCTGCACCAATTTACAATCTCACCAACAGTGCTTAGCAATATTTTTTGGTTAAGCCTCCTCATGCAAGGGAAACAAAAACAAACAAATGAGACTACAACAACTAAAAAGCTTTTGCACAGCAAAGGAAACCATCAACAACACAAAAAGGAAGCTTACTAAATGGAGAAGATATTTGTAAATAATATATCCAATAAGGGGTTAATATCCAAAGTATATAAAGAACTCTTATAACTCATCATCAAAAAAACAAACCCAAACAACTCAATTACAAAATGGACAGAGGACCTGAATTGAAATTTTTCCAAGGAAGATGTACAGATGGCCAAAAGACACATGAAAAGATGCTCAATATCACTAATCATCAAGGAAACGCAAATCAAAATCACAAGGAGACACCACTCCCTCACACCTGTACAAATGGCTGTTACCAAGAAGACAACAAATAACAAGTGTTGGTGAGGATGTAGAGAAAAGGGAACCCTTGTGTGCTAATTTTATTTAATTTTTATTAATTTAAATGTAACAGCCACATGACAATGCAATTCCAAAGCCTTAGTTTTAAAAAAAAGCAGGGACTTAACACATGTATGTTTGCAAATTGTTGAATGTCAACCCAAAACACTACCTGCAACACTGCAAAGTGGTTCTACCTCCTCCTACCCTAGCTGCCTGGCAGAAACATCCATTTGTCCTCATTCAGACAGCACCTCCTTTGTGAAACTGTGGCAGCCCAGAGTTACTAACTTGTTACCTAACTATTACTAACCAGGTCACACCATGTTGTCATTATGGGTTTACATATCTGTGTTCCCTGCTAAACTGGGGCTCTAAAAAGGCAGCAGTTGTGTATTATTAACTTCTGAATCCCCAGAGCCTAGCAGAATGCCACATCCTAAAATCCTTGCTCTATTATCACACCAGTCTTCATTTAACCAATCCATGCTCTTCAATTTATCACACCAGTCTTCATTTAACCAATTTATCACACCAGTCTTCATTTAACCAATCCATACTCTTCACTACTCTACCATCTGAAATCTCATAATCCCACCATCCATAATGAACATCTTAGAACTGGAGAAATTACAGGTCATATTATCTGTACCAACAGGTGTGGTGTTTTACTTCTACATACAATTGCTCAGTAGAAAACACTGTAAAATAGTGGAAACGATGCATATTAGAAACTCAAGTTTTCTAAGAGAAATAACGAGAAAGTAGTTAGACACAGGAGTTTGGAATTCAGGACGAGACAAAAATTTGGGAGTTTTTGACATAGAAGTGGCATTTTGAAACTATGCAACTCATGAATTAAATCACTAAGGGATTAAGTGTAGACAGAAGAATACAGGCACTCCAAGGTTAAAAGGTCAGAAGTGAAAAAGAACTTGCAAAGAACACTGAGAAGGGGCAACCAGTGACATACAGGAAAACCAGGAAATATGCTGTCTGAGAGCCACGTGAATAGTTATTCAAGGAAGAGAGAGTCATTAAGCTATGATAAATGCTATTGATAGATCAAGTTGGAAAGTAAGGTTCCATTTCTTTCACACAATAGCAAACCCTCCAAAACTGAAGAGAAAAACTGAAAGATACCACTTGGCATTCAATCACCAGTGTAACCAGAAGTTACACCAGTGTTTTCTAATATAGATATTTCTTTCATTTCATTACACATATGCTATTCCAGATCATCACATCTTCCTCTTAACATCCACATGAAACAAGGTTTCAGAGAGCACAATTTTCCTGGGCAGCACTAATTTTAAACGAAAACCTCGTTAAGTTATTTTACCAGCTGAGACTGACTGAAATAACGAGTGTCTCCCATTCAGCTGCCACGCTTTCCTTAGAAATGCAGGTTTGGCATAATTTAAAGGTCAAGATGGTTTAAAGAGCATTCAGTTTCCAAAAAAGAACGGACAAAAGTGTCAACATTCACGGAAAACTTAGAGAAAAAGTTAGACTGTGAACTCCAGGAAGGGAGGGGCTCATTTCCCACAAAGCTGGAGCTCAATATTTTTCACTTAACTTGAAAATAGCTGTATCTTACTGCGGGGAGGTGGCGTGAACTTCAGGGCACTACGCCATCCAGAACACTGTTGCCCGAACACTATGCACGCAGAGAGGGACCGGCGAGCTCGCGGGCATCCGCGCAGAAGATCAGCACCTGGGTCGATAAACGCAACGCGGGACGGCGCACAACCGCACACCGGACCCTAAGGTTGAAAGACCCTAGCCTCGGGCGGGGACTCACCTGCCTCCGGAGTGGGGAAGATGTGCTGCCCCCGGCCGTCTCTGAGGGTGCGTCCCTGCAAACCCCTCACCGCGTCACTGGACACTACCGAGGAGGTGAAGAAGGACCCGTGAGGACGCTGCGCGTTCGCTCGGTCGCCTAGGTGTCTGAGCTGCAGCGCCACGGACCCCTCAGGTACTCCTCAGCGGCCCGTGCGTGCGCGCGCTCTCCCACCTCGTCGCTTAGCAACCTGCGAAGCCGTCCAGTCTTCTCTACACTTCAATTCCTCCCGCCCCCGCAGACTGTGAATAGTTTTAAAAAAGATTTTGTTTCCGGGTCGAACCGGCTTTACGCAGCGGAAGGTCTCTTTACCTCCCACGTTTACCCTTGAGGGGAGGATAAAGTCTTAGCAGCTTACGGGAGAGCGCTGGAGCTAAGGGCTCTGTCTCTCCACCCTCGAGTTACACTCGCCTCCCCTCTCGCCAATTGCTAGGCGCCATCCGGCAGGGCCTTTTTTCCTGAGCCCAAATCCTCCGCTCGTCGCCGTCCTCCAATCACAGCGGCCCGCCCTCGGGAACTACTTTGCAATCGGCGAAGAGCGCAAGGAGCAGGGCGTGAGAAGACAATCTGACCTCGGGAAGTGTAGTTCAACACTCGAAGGAAATGCATTGGAGATTGCGCCAGAATTAGGGCTGCTTAAACTACAGTTCCCAGAGGCCTCCGCATCCGGGAGCCGAGCCTTTTCTTTCTAACATCACTCGCCTTTTCCGAGTCGGTTCCACGATAGAGGTGACCGGACTCCCTGAAGCTCCTTTTGCAGGTGCAGAAAAGTGTCTGCGCAGTTCCCAGTCATGGTGAGTGTGGGCCTCTGCATGCTGCCCACCTCCGACCTTCGCGCCCGTGTGTGGAGTTTCTTGCGTTTTAAGGACTGTTGGGGGAAGGCTGTGCAAGGGATTGTCCTTCGCGCCCTTTGGAAAGCCCCGACTCATCTGGGGACTGTCGCAGGGACCCGGTAATTGGGAAGGGGTTGATTTACAGCTGGGGGTTCTTAGAAGGACTTTAGAGACATCTCTGTCCTTGGAGAGGCGCGATCTCAGTCGTTCTGTATGTTGGGGGTACAGAATACGAAGCTGCGGATTTTCTCCAAAGCACGGTATAGGGGTTTGAGAAGGACGATAAGGTTTGAAATGAGAGGGGGTGTTGGACCCTAACCTCTTTTTCTCCTCTTAAGCCCACAGTGTTTTTAAGGGCTTTTGTCACAAAGCCCTTGAAAGCAGAAGGCCCTCACTGCAAAGGTAGTGCTTACCAGATGCTCGGGATTGCGATCTACGTTTTCGGGAGAAGTGTTTCCGCCATATCTAATTTCACGAAATGTTATTTAAAACCTGTTCATTGATCTCCTTTTGTCGTACCTGGACATGTTGCAGTGACGGTGCCCCTATGCAAATAATTAGTGCATTTTTTTTTTTTTTTACTGATCTGTGTGTTAGGAATTCTAGAACCACTACTTTTAAATGTTACACAATAAAACCATCGTTTCATGAAGCTTTGGATACCAAGATATGGGTATCTTGTCTCTGCTGAAAGGGAGAAGGGAGGTTGGTGAGGGTACTGACGTAGGAATAATCAGCATGCTGTTTGAAGGTGACATTTGACATCAAACTGAGAGAAATTGCTTCAGTACTGTATTTGTAGTTGAAACTGTTTTTCCTCTGTTATTTCAAAATACTAAAATGAGTGGGGAATGTGGAAAAATATTTGAAGGAATTGGAACATTTCCAGAACCTGAAAAGACGTGTTTTCAGGGCAAGGGGATTACTTCTTCCACCTTCATAAGGGAGCCAGTGGGGACAGCTTCTAATTCTCAGTAAGTGTTAAACCTAGGTTTCCTACTTATTTTGTCAGATAACATAATTAGTCATTTAAATGATGGTTTCAGTGGTTTCTGACCTAGTAATCTTTTTTTTTTTTAATTTATTTATTTATTTATGGCTGCGTTGGGTCTTCGTTGCTGTGTGTGGGCTTTCTTTAGTTGTGGCCTTACGGGCTTAGTTGCTCTGCGGCATGTGGGATCTTCCCCGACCAGGGCTCGAACCCGTGTCCCCTGCATTGGCAGGCAGATTCTTAACCGCTGTGCCACCAGGGAAGCCCCCTGACCTAGTAATCTTAGCAAGAATGCAGAGGTACTTATTATCAGAGAACCTCAGACTTAATAATTTTAAAACTGGTTGGAACCTTTTAAAAAAAAATCTTGACCATCTTAAAATTGAGTTTATTGAAACCCAAAAAGAATGTGATTTGCTCAAGGTCATACAACAGTTTGCCCCCAAGGATCTCGCATACTTTCCATTTTACCATATTGTATCATTCAGACACATATCAAGTCATTCTGAAAATTTATTTTTAGTTGCTGAGGTTCTGGATGAAGATACAAGCTCATACTGCAAATACAAACTAAACTAGGTATCAGCATTTATATTACTTGATGGTTTTACAATGAGAATATCGTAGTTCTAGAATTGGAAGGGAATTTGGAAATTATTTCTTCTAATCTTAAAACATAACCTGGTGAGGTCAAATGATTTTCCCAAGGTCACAGAAAGCTCCTGGGCCCCCATTCTTGCTTTGTTTTTCTACACAGTATATCAAGCCAGGCCTCACCCCAGGAAGATCACTCCAGCACCAAATAATGTCCATGAGGAAGAACCTTCCTGCCATTTTGCTGAAACTGATGGCAAATTCTCACATGACTCAATCTCCCTGCCTGCTCAGGAGAGTGTGTGAACAATCACTGAGTTAGAAAAGAGCCATCTTTTGTAAGCTATTAAAATCAGGTTTTTTTCAAGGAGTCAATTCTTTCCTTGTGTCCATAGGGAATGACAAGCAAGAATAAACTGTATGAAGGAATCTGAATACTGTTTGTCTTTTATATTACAGAAATATATATAAATGAGAAAGTAAAAAAGGAACACATGGGTCTTTCTGTAGAATAACAGAAGGAACACTTAAATTCAAGCTTTACAACTGACACTTGAACACATGCCCAAGACAGAGCCTGCATCTGCACGAAGGTCATTAGTGCCCTGCCAAGAGCAAAGACATTCCTTCCTTGGATCTTGGCAGACTGCCCAGATATCTAAGCAAAGAATAGTAACCTATCTTCACACTGTAACATTGTGAAAATGTCAGTGGGAATCTCCCGCCCTCCTGCTTTTCTACTGCAACGTTGCAAAGAGCAGACAGAACCAAATAGGCACTTCTTTCCTGTTTCATCACCAGACATTTCAGACACTGGGCTTCATACTACTCTTAACAAGATGGAATCACCTACCTGTGAAAATAATTTGCTCAGTGATAGAGAAGAAGGAAACTGCTCAGGTGGAATTTGTGCCTGTTCATTAGTTGCCCACAACCCCTTCACTAGGGACTGTGGTACTTTGAACCCATTTTTTTAGTAGCTAAAATAAATGCCTAAAATTGACTATTCTTTTCTAACCATCTACCTGACTTTCTGGGAGGTTAAGCTTTACAGATAGTAATGTTTACTTTTCCCTTCATTGCTTATCGTAGCTTGCTTTCATTGAAGTAGCATGTGTTTATGCTTTTCTTAACTCTAACTTTCCTTCATTCAACAAATCCTTGTTGAATGCTATATGGGAGTGCAAATTTGAGTCAGAGGCAGACTGTTCTCCGGAAGTTTCACAGTCTAGTGGAGAGTAACAGCCTCAGGCTACAAGAGTCCTTAGAGGAAAAACCTGAGACCTATAATTATAGTGCTTGCTACATACTGTTCTTACTGCTTTGTATGTTAACTCTCTCAATCCTTACGACTACCTTATTTGTCAGGTAGCTGCTATTATTATCTCCATTTTACTATGGAGAAACAATACAGTAACTTGCCTAAGAACATACAGCTGAGTTGAGGAATCAGGATTTGAACCAGAAAGTGTGGCTCTAGAGGCCATCTCTAACTGTCACACTCTACTGCCTCTCTAGCCCCCTGTTTTAAAAAAATATTATCCTCTTGTTTCTTGCATATGGTTCACTAATGGAGTCTCTGGCCTAAAATAGTACAAGTTATGTAATAAAAGAAGACTTTCATTAGAACTAATGACATAAATAATTTTGCTAACCATAGCTGGAATTATTGTCATTATTTCCAGCCTTCTCAATGCAAGTATATATGAATAAAACAATTTTTAAAGCATGTTGGGTTTGCTTCCAAACAATTCTTTTACATTTCCAAGGTTTTGATAGTAATTTTACAAGATCCAGCAAATATTTGAGCTTTAGCAAATGTTTGAGCTCTAACTACATGCCAGGCATTGTTCTAGGCAGCTGGGATACAACAGTAAATAAAGTAGACAAAGCCCCTGTCCTTAAAGAGCTTGCATTCTAAAGAGGGAGGGGGAATCATTTCTTCCTCTATTTCTTTTTCCTCACCTGCTATACTTCAAGGAAAGAGGGGAAAATGACAGAATTTAAAACATGTAAAGACCATGTGATAGAAAATAAATATATACAATAACAGTGCTCTTTATAAACCTAAAGTCTATTTGGGAACATAAATATGTATTGTATTAAAATTGGATTATTGGGGGAATTATCGTATTTTGTATATTTAGAGATATTAAAGCATAAGGGGAAGTTGGTGAAGAGTATGGACAAGAGACCCAGAAGGTCAGGAAGAAACTCTCCATAGTTTTTTCCCTTTTTCTCCACTTTCACCCTGGTCACCTCTCTGAAGAAGAAACACATACATAGTCTGCTGTGTTCAGATGCATTTCTCTACAACAGTTGACACTTTCCTGAGACTTTTCTTCCTCTGAATTCTATGGGTACCAGATTGCTAAGTGCTGCTGACCTCCAGAGGTTAGGGTTTGAAGGTTAGAAGGAACCTTCAGGTCATAGTCTCCTATCCTAGAAGCATGACCCCTCTCTAAGAGGGAATTCTAAATATAAAGAAATCTAATCCTCTATCCCCAGTCACTTCAGCCACTTCTCTAGTGTGGGTAACTATAGAGGTGACACAGAGTGGAAGTACATTTACCCAGTATTGTCAGAGAAAGGAATAATTCCCTTGATTGAATTTTTCCATCTAATTAAACTTACCCATTAAGTTTCCAGGCATTTTTGTTCAGCTCTTTTTAATAGAAATATTTCTATCTTTTTAATTCTCTGAGCTTAATTTAACTTATTTTTAATGACTCAGGGTCATCACTTTGAATTAGTTATATATATTTTTTGTCCATATGTTCATATTTTATTCAGGGTCTGTAAGATGACTACCATCTATTATAACTAATATGTTCTTTGTACTTTTTCCCCTTCCTCCCCTTTAATATTAATTTTCCCTTAAAATCAGGTTGTCAACTGTTACCACACGTTGCTACTGTTATTTATTAATTAATGCTAGAATTTTTTACAATCCAGATATTAACATTTTTTCATTTTTCTTTCTCCTTAAATAAATATAAGCTTATTTTTTCTTCCTCCAAGT